CAGTGTTGAATTTCAATGTGGGAATAATTATGCAATATACCGCACGGAAATTCGCGTTAATTAAATGTATGTAAAACATAACTTTTGGAAAATTCGCGTTAATTTTATGAGGCGTAAATTTTGTTCGCGTTATTAACATGCTTCGTTATATTCCTATAATAAGGTAATGTGGTTACTGCCTCCTAGGAGGCAGTAGCCACAAAAATTGTCTTGTTAGGTTTTCTTTGTTATTTTAATTTTGAATCCTTTTCTTAAATTTGATTTATAATCTCTGTCAGTTTCAGAAAAATTTTTAAACAGTGAAGGAAGACTAAAATTACCTCTCTTGATTGTAGTTATGAATTACATGCATTATTACATGAGGTATATAGTCACTGAATCTGCAATCCATCATAACATTGTACAAATGTGAGCTCAGTCATTGGGAACTCAATTCTTTAGTTGTTGGACCTTGCTCTGATCAATGGTCTGATTTTAATTTTTAGTTTGAGTTATATAAATCTCAAGTGGCTGTGGTCTTTAAGAAGTATTGCCCAACATCCAGTTAATGGAGGCAAGCATATTTACTGGTAAGTAAAAATGGCATAATCTGCTGCTCAGCTTCTGGCAAGCCTGGCTTCTCTGCCAATTTATCTTTGGAGATGCAGGCAAGGCTCATAATCTTCTTCTCTCTTGCCATTAAAAGCACATCTGTAAGATTTTGGCTTGTTGGCTTTACCTGCATTATTTTTGGTAAATTTATTAATTAGCTGTCTTTTTGCTAAGTCACCACCATCATATCAATCCCATCATTTCAGCTTCATCTTGTTATTACATAACCTTACTTTTCATGACCACTTCTTTTTCATTTGAAAAAGACAAATTTGTAATATTGTTTAGAATTACATTCATTTCCTGTATTGAGAAATTAAAGTTAGAAATTTCACAGAAGTGAGTGTTGTTTATTTAAACTAGAAGGTATCTCTTGCAATTTGAGATTGGAACAAAAAAAAAAGCAATTTCTACCCTGGTTTCTGGAAAGAATCTTCTTGCCTTTTTTCCCCAGTTGGTTGCGATGACCAGCAATAACAATTACAATGAACATTTTCCATTACAATTATATGTATGAGTCGGCTTCAAGAGCCTATCAATTTTTCTTAGATAATGTTCTTTTGTTGTTGTTTTTCTGTTTGTTTTGTGTTTTTCTTTTTGCATATGGAACTTGAGAAAAGACAAAACAAGTCAAAGGCTTGAAGTGGGTCAAACATGGTATAATCCTTGGGTTTAGCAGTGATACAAGGAAATTTGGGTAAACAAGGAAAACAAAACAGGGAGTTGGGAGATTCCTTATTCAAAGGTGAAGAACTATTCATAAGTATTGCTAAGGTGGATGGAGATGAAGTTGTAGAAGGAGAGCTGTATATGAATCTAGGAGATTCCTGTAGCAACCTTGCAGAAAACAAACAAGCAATTCAGTACTGCGAACTATTCCCTCACCCCCTTCTCTAGTTAGGACTATGAAAGAAAACTTCACTATGTTTATTGTAGTAAGTTTTTTATTATTATTTTTATTATCATTAGAATACAACTACTTCTGTATGCATAAATAATCAATTGGGAGAAACCACTGGCATTCAACGTACCCATTAAATCCTAAGAGTTAAAGGTAGATTTAGAATAAATGACAAACATCCTTAATCAAACCAAAGGACTTTGATGTTTCTTGTGGCATAAGCATATGATGAGCTAAAGCTGGCAAGGCTATTTTTGGTGCTGTTTTATCCAATGGAGATGTGGAGATACAATAATCTGGCAAATATACTCAACTTATTTCTTATGGGTGGTTATTTTTCAGTGGCTTGGAAGGTCTCAGCCTTGCTTAAAACTGGAATACCTTCAAATGAGTATCTTGAAGGTGTTGCTCATGAAATTCAGGATGGCTGGAAGAAACTGGGACGAAGGTTGAGATTGACAGGGTCAATACTGTCCAGCACTAACGAAGAAGAGGAATTTCCCTCAGAGAAGTGCTACAAAATGCTTTTGTACTGTAAGCAACATTACGGTTCTTCAGCTGAGTTTAAGACTCTTGCAGCAGGCTTAGAACATCCCTTCGTCCAAAGTAGAGACCTTGCTTACAAGTATTGCTACATCACCACAGGTTCTGGACAAATGAAAGAGAATTGCATACAAGTAAGTGAACCTGCTGTTTGGATAATACCCCCCTCTCTTCCCCCCCCTCCCACCCTAGTTAGGACTGTGAAAGAAAACATCACTATATTTATATTAGTAAGTGACCTATTTGCAAATTTGTAGTATCATTAGAATATAACTATTTGGGTATGCAAACATAATCAGGTGGGAGAAACCCAGCCATCATCATTACTGTTCAGTGCTTTTAATGAAAGAAGATTTTAGGGTTACTAAGTAGCTAGCAGCAGTTGAGAATCAGATATATTTAAATTACTCTGATTCATTTGTGGCATCGTGTGGCTTAGGTCATCAATTGATGATAAATTTGAATTTGGGTGATGGGATTTTTTTCCTTTTTTGAGATGTTTTTTAATCCATGTTTGACAGCGTTACAAACCTGCAGGGACCTGCATCAGTACCATCACAAATGGTTTGCAATCAAGAATTGTTTTTAAGTCCAAGGATAGTTGGCATTATTTACCCTTTAAACACTAAGAGTCAGACCACCATCAACTTAGTTGCAATGCAGTAAACCAGGAGTGTGGAATCATTCCTTAAGACCATAAGAATATATAGAGAAAATAGTCACCGGCCTAAGAACCTTTGATTGTTAAACACGTTCTCCCGGTCATTAAACCCAAGGAAATGTATAATCACTAGAATGGAGAATACAAATAAGTTGATCTAAGAGTGTCAAGGGTTTAATATAGTATTGGGATGTTTTAATGTTTTGATAACTTAATTTTTATGATCTGAAGTCAAAGCGAGACAATCATTCTCCTACAGCATTAAATAAATCTTCTTTCATCATTTTGTTCTATAAAAAAATGTTCCTTTTCTTTAAATATAATTGTCAGTTAAAGAAAGGCATAGAATAAATGACAAACATCTTCAATGAAGCGAAAGGAATTGGATGTTTCATGTGGCATAAGCATATGATGAGCTAAAGGTGGCAAGGCTAGTTTCAGCAGTGTTGTATTCAACAGAGATATGATAATCTAGCAAATATGTTCAACTTATTTCTTATGGGTGGTTATTTTTCAGGGGCTTGGAAGGACTCAGCCTCACTTAAAATTGGAATACCTTCAAATGAGGATCTTGAAGGTGTTACTATTGAAATTCAGGATGGCTGGATGAAACTGGGACGATATTTTGGATTGAAACGGTCAGTACTCTGCAACATTAACGAAGAAAAGAAATTCCCCTCTGAGAAGTGCTACCAAATGCTTTTGTACTACAAGCAACATTACGGTTCTTCAGCTGAGTTTAAGACTCTTGCAGCAGGCTTAGAACATCCCCTCGTCCAAAGAAGAGACCTTGCTTACAAGTATTGTTACATCACCACAGGTTTTGGACAAATAGGAAGAGAATTACGTACAAGTAAGTGAACCTGCTGTTTGGATAATACCCCCTCTCCCCCTCTCCCCCTAGCAAGGACTATGAAAGAAAACATCACTATATTTATATTAGTAAGTCACCTATTTGCAGGGGTTTCATTAATGTTTTCAGCAGGAGGGCAACTGGTTTTCACAGGCGGGTAAAACTTTTTGAAATAAACTTTATAAGATAAGCCTTCCTCCAGATTGTTAAACCAGGTGGGTAAAACTGTCCTTACAACCGGTCAAGGACAAATACAGGGATCAAATACAGGGGTCAAGGATCAAATACAGGGATTTCATTAAGGGCCGGTGCCCGGCCCTCAATGAAATCCCTGTATTTGCAGTATATATCATTAGAATATAACTGTTTGACTGTGTATGCCTACATAACCAATTGGGAGAAACCCAGCCATCATAGTGCCATTATGCGGCTTAGGTAATTTAATTGATGATAGAATATGCCCTCCACTACTTGTTATGTTAAGAATATTTCATGTTGAATGAGGAAAACCTGCATGTAAATAGTGTTACACTAATCATATTAAGACGACGCCAAGAGATATTTCTCAGTCTATTCATTATCTTAAATATATGTAGACAACTACAAATTTCTTCTAACGCGACTAAGTACGGTAGTCATAAAATAGATTACCAACGTCTTTAAGCGATCAAAAGGAATTGGATGTTGCACGTGGCATATGCCACATGTGCTCATTGTTTTATTTCTTGTACAGTAAAAATCACGCAACTCTTTTGCTGTTTGAAGAGCATTGGGACTAATGCAATTGCTTCCTTCGCAAAGAGTTATTGCAGTTGGGAATTTCGTTTGTCTCGAGAATGGTCAACATTATTAAACGTATAACATTGCTATATTTAAACCTATTTCACAATATCATAATGAGTCAACTTCATCTTTTGCAGTACCTCCTGAGATCAAAGCTCGAGGATTAGAAGCAGAACTAGCATATGAAAATGCGCTGCGGATCGGAAAGGTCAAGGTCTACCGTGCCCGAATCATACTGATTGGCCAAGACCGTGCGGGAAAGACAAGTCTCAAAAAGTCCCTATTAGGTTTACGATTTGATCCTGAAGAGCAGAGTACTAGTGGAATTGAAGTAGACCCATCATCATTTGAAGTTAATGTTGATCAGGTAAAGAACTGGCAGCGCACAGCTAAGCAAGAGGGTGTATCTCAGTTTGCGGAGGAGCTGGCAAAAATGGTAGCAGGAAAACTAGAAAGTGAAGAAACAAGGATATAGATTTGACAGCTCAAAGTAAACCAAAGGAGACAAAATCCCACAAAACTCTGGTTGGTGAAGTGCATATTCTTAACATTGTGAGGTAATGATTTTTAACTGTTGCTTGTCTTTGTAATCCTGAATTTAAAGTCATCGACTCCCTGGAAGCTGAAGTTGGACAAAGTTTTTGATGTACTGCAATGGCAATCAGGAAACAATTTATGAAATCAGTGGAGAGTTTCTCTTCTCTGAAGAGAACCCTCTTTTCCTTTTCGGTCTTCTTGAATGAAAGGTTGTCCTGAAACTTTCAAACCTTTCCCTCAAATCCCTCTTCTGGGCTAACTTTGCAATTTGCCGATCGTATAAGTGTACTCTTGGATATCACCATTTTATGTATATCAGATGCCTCAACAGTTTTATTGTCTAAATGTGTGGAAACATTGGAATGTTTGGTGTTATTCATCGATTTTTGCCAGTTACTGAATAAGATTTTAGAGGATTATAGAAGTGGAAACTGGAAAATCTTTCAATATGAAGAGGTTTAGCGATTTGAAAAGAACTATAAGGTCCATTCTCGATCGGATATCTGATTTTCTTTCGGAAATAAAGTGTAACAATTGAGATTCTCAACTAAACAGCTCAACATTTCACAACATATTTCTCTAGTATCTTTTGGAAGATTTAATAATTTCTTAAAGTTGAAAGTACTACAAACAATCTACCAAATAAAGACTGTGTAACTAAGTTATCAGTGTTCCCCTTTGGATTTCAGGAATCACAGGCAGACGCTGATAGACATAATCAATATTCACCCAAAACACCTCATTTGATGAGCAACTCTTCTGATCACCACATGGAAAGATCCGATCACCAGAACTCTCAAATCAAGATTGATACATCCAAACCTCCAGAGGAATTTTGCAAATCCCTTATTCAGTATCTGAAAGGGTTAAATCTACAAAGCTCATCTGCAGAACCAGTTGTACATATTGACATATGGGACCTAGCTGGTCAGCAGCTATATTATGCCTCTCATCCAGTGTTTTTATCCACCCGAGCATTGTACCTGTTGGTGTTTAATCTTAGCAAAGGATTACAAGACACTGCTGTGTCGTATGTTAGACAAGGTATCCATAACAGATGTTTGGAAAATCCAACTGGGGAAACAAACTTGAAAAATCTTTTGTCTTGGCCAGTTTCAATTGATGCTTTCAGTCCAATACAACAAGAAGCAGGAAAGAAACAAACTCCATATTTGCGACCTCCAGTGTTGATGGTTGGAACACATGCTGACAAACCATTTCAGGACATTGAGGAAATGAACGTTCAAATTCGGAAGAAACTTTCTGAAAAGCGGTGCGGAAGACACGTCAACACCCAATATTTCTCTGTAGATAACACCCAATCATCGTCAGATGCTGGAATTATTAAACTGCGAGATGAAATACTGAAAGTGTTGAAGCGGGAGCCTTATATGGGAGAGCAGGTCCCTGTAAGGTACTGTGTCGTGTACAAGAAAAAAGGCATCAATTTTACAGTACCATTACTGTTACTCCCAATCGCTCCAAAAATTAATTATCACCTAAAGGAAAGCAAGAGAGATTCCGAATAAATTCAATTGTGGCTATCATTGCTTCAGACCACCAAAGCTAGCAAAGATGATAAATAAAGTATTTAGTTTCAATTAATTGCTCGTTTCCTGTAATTGCATTGGTAACTTGGTGTTAGGGACACATGTTTGATGTACAGTTTTAAGTTACTGACTTTTTTTATTTGCCAACTCGCCTGGTCTATCTCGGAACATCCCATTATAGTGATTCCCAGTTTGTGAGGGTGGACCTGAATGAATTGTTCAATTGGCAGATTTGGGTGAGGGAAGGGGGGATGGTTAGGGGATGCGATGCGAGATAAAACACCTTCCAATGATAGATTTTCAGAAGTTTGCATCTCTTTTATTCGAAATACTTCCTCTCATCCAAACAACGGTATTACACAGAAAATTAGAACAGTATTACAAAAACACCTGAGCTTCAAGTTAGTACACATACGGTGTATAGGTGCAGTTAAATTTGATTATCAAATAAAAAAAGGAGAGAGAGAAATGTAGAAATAAGAAGAATGAGACAAAGTTAATTATAACATAACCAAAGTAAAGCGCGCATTCTGAGTGGTCAATTTAGCGTCCCCCATTTGCCCATGGGTATACGCTGCTGACGTGAGCAAATGCAAAGACTATTTTTCCGCGCGCGCTTGTTTTTTCTGGTCAAGTAAGATTTGTTAAATAAAAGGGAACTCTTCAGCTACAATGTATCAATGTTATGTTATAAAACAAATGGTAAACACCACAGCGTACACTATTAAGTTCTAGATGCACTTGGGAGATTTGCTAAGCACTCAAGAAGCTAGAGTCGCTCTCGGCTATCGCCTCGACCGACTCTTACGCTTCTTTGGTGCTTAGCAGCCTCCCGCGTACATCCATAACTCAATAGTGTACGGTGTGGTGTTTACCATTTGTTAACAAGTATGCAATTTTTTTAACATCATTATTATTATGTATGATGCACGATCCTCGCAGTAGATAGCACTATTTTTGCAATAGCGAAAATCAGACCTGAAAAAAATCAGGCCTGTACGGGACTCGAACCACGGACCTCCGCGATACTAGTGCAGCGCTCTACCAATTGAGCTAACAATTCATTGTATCTCATGACTTTCACGGGTTTATTACGAATCAACTTAACGGCCTGCTCCCATTTTTTTAACGCGTGGGAAGATGTCTACGAACAGCTTACTGTTCACGGCGTGGAAGCTCACTTAACAGTATTCTTTGATACGATTTTATAAACAAAAAAAACATAGAAAGATGTTTTCTGTCTTTGTCACGAGCGTGGGACAAAAAAAAATTCTACATCCCCAAGGGGGAATCGAATTCCGATGTTCTACCACTGAACCACAGAGACTCAATGGCGAGCAAGGCGCATTACGAAGTTCTTATTTGATACGCGTCCTGCATACTGCTAGGATCAGCAATATCGAAAGCGTCTGGTTTCGTAAAGAATAAGAAAGATGGTAAGTTTTGAACTTGGTGAAGAAATATAGAAAAATGTTTTCTGTCTTTGTCATGAGCGTGGGACAAAGAGAAAATTCTGAGTGCCCATGAGGAATCTGAACTTCGTAATGGGCCTTGCCAACCACTGAGCCAGCCACAGAGACTCTATGGTGAGGGCATCGGAGCGCGGAACCCCTCATAGGGAATTTTTTCTTTGTCACACGCTCGTGACAAAGACAGAAAACTTTCTATATTTCTTCACCGAGTTCAAAACTTACCATCTTTCTTATTCTTTACAAAAAAGAAAACATGTTCCCTCTTCTGTAACAACCACACAGCGTTTCTCATCTTGAATTAAATTTAAGCGCCGAGTTTTTTTCTTCATGGACGTAACGTTTGAAAATTGAGGAATATCATTTTGGTTATATCCTCGGATATCCCCCAATTTTAGTTGGGGGATATTTGGTCACGAAATGCGTTTGTAACTATCGCGTGCGAGAAAATTTTATTTGATGGATTGTAATGATAAATGTAATATTCATTATCATTACTGTTATTAGGCTGAAAAATAATTATTTCTGAGATTATCTAAAATCTAGATTTGGTTAACGCTAGAGTCAATGAACTCGATTAAAGCGGTCAAAATGCAGTGGAGTTTTCCTGTGATTCCTATTTTAACATTTTACAGCCTTTTTGGTTCAACGTTATTACCAAGATTGCACAACAATTGCTGTAGCATACAAATCCAATGTTGAGAATTATCCTAATCGCATTGTTGATTCTTCACTATTCATTGGCTCAATGGATAGCATCCCGGTTAGCTCAATGGATAGAGCGCTGGACTGTTGTGCGGGAGGTCGAGGGTTCCAGCCCCGGCCGGACAA